TCTTAGCAACACTATAATGTATAGGGACCTGAAACCCTATTACTATTGCCCGACGATGAAGCTTGATATTACAAAGTATGTGACCAAGTGTGTGACATGTGCAAGAGTCAAGACACAACATCAGAAACCATACTGGAGTTTAGAACCTTTACATGTACCTATTGGTAAATGGGAAGACATTTCTAAGAATTTTGTCACTAAACTGCCCAGAACAAAGAGTGGTCACGACATGATTTGGGTGGTCGTGGATCGCTTCACTAAGAGTGCACATTTCATAGCAGCTGCCCCACCCAAAAACTAAAAACGGCGGAAACGTTCTAGGGTGGAGGACGTCATGTACAGTATCATAACAATGCATAATAGTAAAAACAAGGAACAACATCCATTGCATTAATAGAATAATTTGTAATACAAGCGTGTTCTGTACAGTTTGTAAGACACCAAAAGTATAATCAAAATAAAAGATGGGTCTTGTATGTGCTCCATCTTCTCAAAAGCTGCACCTGTACCTGTCTACTGATGACCTGAGAATACTAGTTATTTTGAAAGCGAGTATCAACATAAAGCTGGTGAGTTCGTAAGTATTTAGTGTCATTGCTTGTTTAAAAATGTTTACAACCATGTGGAATAATAACTGATATCCCAGTAAAAGTAGTCTTCTACCAAGACCCGTTTGTTTACGTGTTTTATCCTTTGAAAATGTAAAGGTTTTCCCAGTGAAACTATTAGTATGAAAATATAGTTTTAGACTTCATTCATATAAAGTATTTGGGAAAATAATGTTTTACTCCCAACAGTGACATTGCCAGCTTAATGTAATGAAAATGCAAACTCCAGGTAGTATTAAATGTACGATACACCTCGAGGATCTGTGTTGCCTTTAATTCTTAATGTGTTAATTAAAGTTCTAAATGTGAACTCGTATGTAACCATGCTGATTGACGATCAAATAACTGATGACCCTTCGAGTCATATGTCGAATGGTGACATTTTGTCACCCCTGGGCCTAGTCGGCTCGGACTGTAGCTAGCAGTCGGGATGTGGGAGTGTCTGTCCCGTATAAATCTATACACACAATGCCCGCTCTCCCTTCAGGAGACTATGGTTACACGGTGATACCACTGTGAAGTATCGTATCGGGAAGTAGTATGTCACATTCTAATTATAGTATATTCTCTTGTATATTGTATAATGTATTTTCTGTGATAATGTGTCGAGTGCTCTCTTGTATAGTATATAGTATTCTCTTTGTGTAGTATTTATCATGTATTGACTCACAACTGTACCGATTCTAGTAGGTATCATGGTAATAGTAGAAATGAGTAGTAATCCTTAACTATACCTATTATAGTTAAATAGAAATGTTGATTGTATTCCTTTGATATACAACGGTACTGAACTGAAGTGAAGACTTTGATATCTATCACAAATATATATAATATATAACTAAGAATTCAACGACGATTGGACAGATAACAAAATACCCTAAGTCCACAATCAAACGCGAACAGAAAGTAAGGTGAGCTATCAGTCCTAAGTCCTTCAAGTCTTACTTATATAAATATATTGGCGTAGATATGGTTTAGGAACAAAAGAAGTTTTAAAAGAGTTTGGGAATAGTTTTATAACAATTTAACATGAAAATGAGTTTGATAAACATTTAAAGCAGTTTTGTTAGCAAAGCAGTTAAAAATATAGAAAATTCTTTTTGGTTGCAAGTTATAAATCACATGTGATTGATACTATAACTTTTTTTTATTCAACTTGTATCCCCCCATAAAAGCATTTAAAAACAATTAAAAGGTTGATTAAGGGGGTATGAACTCACCTGTAGTGAGTGGATTTGATGGAAGTGCCAAGTAGGATGTTAGGTGTCAAGTGAGGACTTGAACACACACCCGGATCCTATGTAACATGGAGTGATACATAAATGTATCTAATTAGTTATTTAATAACTAATTAAGTAAGTAAAGACACTCTAATGCATGAAAACACTTTGTTTCAAGTGCTAGGAGTGCTAAGGGTTGTACCTAAGGAGAGTATGGCCTCACTTTGGAGTTTACTCCTCAAATGGTGGCCCTTAAGGGTGTTTACGGTTTCTGGACCATTTCCCCCATGAGTTTACAGTCGTAAACTCATGGGAATGGTGTATTTGTATGTTTCAAGGTCTCATGCTTCACAAAGAAGTGCTCTAGGGTTGAATCAAGGGCTTAGGAAGTGGTTAGGGCTCGAAATGGCACTCCTTTGGAGTTTGCGGCCTTTGGACCACTCCATGGGAGTTTACGATCGTAAACCCTTGGGTTGACGACCGTAAACTCTTGTCCACTTCATCCTTTTCGTGTTTTGTGGTTCTTAGATCATGCATGCAAGTTTCTAGCCTCTTATCCAAGCATTAGAAGGTGTTAGAGACATATAAACACCACTTAGTGGTGTTTACGGTTTTGGGAGATCCCCAACCGTAAACACATGTGTTATTGGGGATTTTGGTGTTCATTCCATGGATTATCAAGTATACTAAGCAAATAACTAGCTAGGAGGAGTATACTTACTTATATGAAGCTTGTAAGAGTGTTTAGGACCCAAAAACACTAGTGTGTGTTCTTGGAGAGCACTTGAAGATCTATGTAAAAACCAAGAATTCATGGATGAAATGATGTATAAACACTAGATTAAGTGTTGTATGAACGAATCTAAGAAGGAAAACTTACGTTTTTGGCGGATTTTGAGGAAGTGTGTGATGATACTTGAGAGAAAAGATTGGTGTTCTTGAGGTGGAGAGTGGGAAATGAGGAAAAAGGGTGTAAACTCATGCTATATGCATGAGTTCTTGGGAAAATGGTGTTTACGGCCCAAACACCCCTTGTTTGGACGTAAACACCTAGCTAAGGTGTTAATTGTTTTGTTTGTTACACCTCACTCATAACGACACTTCCTTTATTAAATCGTTTTGACTAAAATCAAATAAAACACCCAAACGGACTTAAATCCGGTAAAAAATGTACTGAAATGTTTTTGACTAATATTTGAAGTGTTTGACTGTAGAAATTATACAAATGAAAATTCTGGGTTGTCACAGCAGCCAATGAGAAGTGGTCTATGGATAAGCTTGTGAATTCTTACGTGAAAGAAATTGTGAGGCTTCACGGTGTTCCGTTAACGATTGTGTCAGATCGTGACAGCCGTTTCACCTCGCAATTTTGGAGAAGTTTATAAGAGGAATTGGGTACCAAGTTGTGTTTGAGTACAACTTACCATCCACAAACTGATGGTCAGAGCGAACGAACGTTACAAACGCTTGAAGATATGCTGAGAGCATGTACCCTGGAATTCCAAGGTAACTGGGATGAACATTTGCCTTTGGTAAAATTCTCTTACAATAATAGTTTCCACTCGAGCATAAAGATGACACCTTATCAAGTTATGTACAGACAAAAATGTCGTAGGCCGTCTTGTTGGCTTGATGCTGGGAAAAAGCAGTTTATGGGACCAGTGATAGTCCATCAAACTGCTAAAAAGCTGAAAATAATCAGGGAGAGAATGTTAGCAGCTCAGGATCGTCAAAAGAGCTATGTTGACAAAAAGCGAAGACCGATGACTTTTGAAGTTAGAGATTCGGTTTTACTTAAAGTCTCGATGTGGAAGGGACTTATAAGGTTTGGTAAAAAGAGAAAGTTGAGTCCAAGGTTTATTGGACCGTTTAAAGTTCTTTAGAGGGTTGGGAACCAACCCTTCTCTTCAAGGGTCAACTCTAGCCCAGGTTAAAGTCAAAGTCAACTTTGGTCAAAGTCAACCTCCAGTTGACTTGAATCGCCGAGTTGGTCCACCAACTCATCGGGTCCATATTCTTTCGAAATAATACAACCCCCGACTTTACTACTCGAGTCTAGCGAGAACTCAACGAGTCCTCCTTCAACCATAATATAGGGACCATCTTCAACCGACTCGCCGAGTTCAGCCTTGAACTCGTCGAGTTTATCTTCATCATATAAATGTGTACAGTCTATGACTCGCCGAGTTATATGAACAACTCGTTAAGTCCGTCTTCATGGGTTGGGAGATTGCCCTAGACTCGCCGAGTCCACTCATACATTAGCCGAGTCCCATGATTTCCAGGTCCATAATCACGTCCATCTTATTGACTCATCTTCTAGACTCAACCAATTTCCTCAGAAACATAAAAGGTTGGGGAACCAATACCCGACTCGCCGAGTCCCAAGAACGACTCGCCGTGTCCCTTAAAGTTTATGTCCATAAAATCGATTTCTGTTGAGCTCATCTCATCCAAAGGGTAGATCTGACCTCCTAGGGTCGATATAATACGTAAAGTATGACATCCCCAATTTCACGGCCATAAAAGACTGATTTGTTTATGCCTTGTTTTTAAAATCAGAGTAATTTTACAAAGGAAACAGTTGCGAAATTTGTTCCCAAAACAAAATATGATAAAAATTATCAAAGCATTTCTTTAAAGAAATGTATTTTCATTGTATAACAAAATCTCGGGATGTCATGTTCAATACAGACCAAAAGCATAAACAGAACAAGATAGACCTTACAACAATTATTCATAAATACTAGGCTATAATCCAAAATCTCTCGTCAAGACCACCAACTTATACTCTTGTGCCATTACCTGTAATGCAAAGAAAACTGAGTGGGTCAGGCTTGGGAGCCTGATGAGCATATAGGGTTTTCAACCCACAATAATACAATTATTATTTATAATTATCAAACAATCAATCTAAATTCACACCACCATTATCTCCATTTATTTCTTAAAGCTTTATCTTAAGAACCGATTACCCTTCTCCCATTCATTCTTAAAGATTGCCCTAAAGAACTGACACAAAATCTAGTGCTGCCAAGGTTCTTAGATTACCTCTAGTGAACACACAATTCACAATAATTAATGAACACCTAATGAACACTTAATTTCGATATTACCCAATAAACACATAGTTCAAAAACACTTAATGAATACTTAGTTCAAATATCCCTCGATGAATACTAAGTTCAAATATCTAATGAACATGTAAATTTATCTAAACCACAAGGACCATTTCAATAATTTCCTCAAAAGATAACACATTAATTACTCAAAAGATAACACATAAAACAATTTGATTGCCTTACTCGTTAGGCCACATTTTGGTAATTGGGGAGAGAGACCCAGAAAGATAAAAACACGGAGTAAACACTAAATAGGGAGAGAAGGTACGGAAACAAGAACCCTAACCATAACCATAGATAGTTAGATACATCATCATACAACCCTTTTTCCTAAATCTCAGGACTTCACTCCTCGTATCAGGATTCTTTCCTTTCCCTTCCCGTACAACAAGTCAAGTTTCTGCGGCGGAATCACCAGGGTTTGGCCTCAACGGACATCTTTCTCCGAAGATTGAGGGGGCATTTTCAGGTAATCAATCGGAGAAACACGGTCATGTTTTTCTATTGGCATCCTTGTTACACCAGGGAACATGATCAGTTTTGATTATCAAAATGTTCCTGGATAAATTTATAGACTTGTAGTGTAAACTTCGATTTCCCATACTTGATTGCACGAAATTCAATTATGAACATGATGCACTTTCAGATTTAGGCACAAATAAATTCTCACAAGTTCTAAAAAAGTGGCGCAATACGAGTATCAAATTGGAGTTCAGTTTCCAACTGACCAACCAAACTGACCAACTCAAGTCAGTTGGAAAGAAGTTTGTCTTGATTTTCTTCGATAGGTTTTACGTGATTTTGCAATATGCAAACTTGGAAAGAAGCTTACTAGATTGGATGTGTTATTGATTGCAGATGAGCTACTCACTGGATCAGAATTCCACTGATTATCGTAAGTTCCACTTTGTCTAATCCTCCATTAGCTAAGTTTATTGCCCTCAATTCTAACTATAAGGTAGAATTCGAAACCACAAGTTCATTGTTCTTCTAGTACACAAGGCTTGGAATCTCAAATATAGCGCACGAACATCATCATCATCATTATTATACTTACACTATTTAAGCGAATTACATTTGTAAGAAGATGAAAATGTAGCTTCTTTGGAATAGAGGAACATTACTAGTTCTTGAGATAGGGAATTCATCTTCTAATTTATATATTTTCAAAGACTTTATATGCATCCAGTTCAATCATGTGTTGGGGTCTTTCTTTTTGGTTTTTCAGAGCATGGAAGCAGAGGTGTGGAGGTATTTGTTGGAGGTTTGGCTCGTTCTCTGAATGAAGACAAGGTTCGAAAGGTATTTGCTGCTTGTGGAGAAATTACAGACATGCGCTTGATAAAGGATCAAAATGGCATCCTAAAGGTCTTCCATTTGTATATTATTATTATTTCTCATTACTCATTATCTGTTTCTCTCTTTTTAAACTCTCACATCTCTTTATATGCACAAATATGTAGGGATTTGGCTTTGTACGCTTTGCAACAAAAGAAGCTGCTGACAAAGCTCTGAAAGACTTATCTGGATCTATGGTACAAAATAATTTAGAAGAGAGAAATAATTTAGAATTTTGTAAAGTTTACTTTTTTGGCCTTTATGTTCCAGCTAGAAGGTAAAAAGATTGGTGTTCTTCCATCAGCTGCACAGGATACATTATTTTTAGGAAACCTTAACAAAGGTTTGTTTTAACTTTTGATAACCTCTTCATTACAATCTCAGTCTTTCAGTTCCCTTTATCTTAGTTATTCTCTTCATTTAGGGTGGAGTGCTGATGATTTTAATAAAGTTGTACGCCAGGTAAGCTTATATATTTGTTTTCATTATACATTAATTATATATAACTGTTCTTTATGGTATATAGGTTTTTCCAGATGTTGTTTCCATTGATCTTGCAATGCCCCAAAGTGGTAGTGAGACAACCAGTAAAAAATTTAAAAATCGTGGTTTTGCTTTCGTGAAGTTCTCATCTCATGCTGTAAGTCATCTTTTTTTTTTTTTTAAACAAAAGTATCAACCGTTTTATTTTACTCACTTTATTATCTTGTTTTTATATTTCTACTCTTTTTATTTTTTATTTTTTAAAATCTCAGACTGCAGCACGTGCATTTAGGGCTGGATCAAAGCCGGATTTTGTTCTTGGTGGTACTTTACATCCATCTGTTCAATGGGTTGAAGAGGATCCTGAAGTAGATCCGGATGAACTTGCTAAGGTGTTCATTGATCACACTAATTTAAAATTCATGATTATTCTGAATTATATGTTGTTAAATGATTTTTTTTTTTTTTTTATTTATTTCAAGATAAAAATAGCATTCGTTAGAAAACTACCCTCAACTATCGATGAAGACTACTTAAAGAAACTCTTCATGCCTTTTGGGAAGGTAGAAAAAGTGGTGGTGTCCAGCAAGGGAGATTCCTCAGTTGGATTTGTTCATTTTTCTCAAAGATCAGTAAGTGGTGTAATTTTTTCTTTTTTAGTATGTATATTAAATATTTTAATTTCTAAATTTTCTTTCCACATGTAGCACCTTGATAATGCCATAGAGGGACTAAATGAAAAAATAGTTCCAGGCCCAAAAGGTGGGCCATCAGTTAAACTTCAGGTACCATAAATTTACTTTTTACTTTTTTAATTTTATATTATCCCGTACATAAAAAAATAAATCTGAAATTTATTTAATCATTAACGCCTGTGTACTAGGTTGAAGTTGCAAGACCTATGGACAAAAAAAGAAAAAGGGTTCATGAAGATTTTCAAAACACTCAGCTCCGTGATAATTTAAATAAACCCAGACCACAAAACCACGACCCATACTTGAATTCATTTGATGGTCATGAAGAGACACTTCAAAAGGTTTATTTTAATTTTGATGTCTTTTATTTTTTTAAAATATTCATTTTTATTTTTTGTTGTAATTTCTGTATCTTTCCAATCATTTAGGAAGCTGTTGTTGATCCCCATGAAGCTGCTGTTCTTTTGTTACCAGTAGCTGTCAGAGAGCGGTTACTTCGAATTTTACGCCTTGGTATTGCCACTCGATTCGATGTACGTTCCGTATTTTTTTAATTTTCTATTTTACTTAATAAATAATTAAATATGGTCTGAAAGCTGACCTATTTCTTTTTTCTTTTTTTAATTTGACCTTAACCAGATCGAAGTTGAATCCCTATCTAATCTAGCAGAATTACCTGAATCCATGGCCATATCAGTTCTTGATCAGGTTAAGTATATCTTTAATTCTGTATCTACACAAAAAAAAAGTTTCACTTTCAGTCCTTCATAAACTGATCACGGTACACATTTCTCTACAGTTCATGTTATCAGGAGCAGAGAAACATGACAAAGGAGGCTATCTTGCAGCCCTAATTTCTAGGGTATGTTATTAGTTTTTCCTGTTTAAACTTTTATTAGTTTATGACCCAATAAACATAATTTTTTTTTTTAATTTTATAATTATATAAACAGTACCAGGTGGACAAATTTGGAGCCAATCAACAGCCCTCAAGTTTATTAAGATTAAGAGAACCAGTAAGGGCCCACCTTCCATCTGTTGACTCTCTTCCCTATGTTGACCCAAGGTTCGTTTTATCATATAATTATAAATATATATAAATAAAATTATCAGATGAATAATAAAATTTATAAAGTACATTGCTATTATGGGTTAAAAAAAGTCACGTGCACAATGCAGCAGCCGGGGTGACAGTTATACATCCCGTTATTCTACATTATATTCAGATTATCGTCTACCGAGTCGACCGGGTATGGTAAAAACGGAAGACAGAAGTCCTATACAGTTACATGAATTGCCTGGTTCTTCTTCTTCTTCTTATGGTAAATATTTAGTAAACTCACATATTCCAACAGCTTATGGAAACATGGAGGAAATGAGTCCGGTCCAATCCCACCAAATCCCGGGCCCATCTTTTGCAAAACCTTCACAAGATCCATACAACAGAATACTGGGCCCTACCCCGACTTTATCTTTTTCAAAAAGTGTCCCGAGCCCGGATCCTTATATTAATGATAGGCCAGGAAGTAGGCCACAAATGAGATTTGACCCGTTTACGGGTCAACCGTATAAGTTTGACCCATTTACGGGTGAGCCAATTGTTCCGGAAAGTTTGGCCCGTCGTTATGACAGCCCGTATTGATTGGGAGATGTCATTTGATGGTTGTTTATGGGCTGTTAGATTTTACAGCAGAATTAAGCAATGCAATGTACATTAATGGATCTTGTTCATCATTCTTGCGGCTTGTCTTATTAATGTTATCAAAGGGATCGGTGTTCGCTACATAAAAATGGGGGGAATGCATAAATACTGGTTTGCTACCTAATGTCTATGAGTAAGATTAGCTGTAGTTTTGTAATTTGAAGGTTTTTGTTTAATGATAATTTATAATTCTTTGTGGAAAAGATAATGTTATGGATATGACTTATGAGAATGAATAAATATGTAGGGGTAAGTTTAATTGAAAAAATAGTAAATGTTTGAGAATGAATTTTCAATAAATCATATATTTTTGCCGTAAAATATTTCTGACTGACGGAGGATGAGTAATATTCATATATGAATATAAATATGTGTATTCATATATGAATACACCATTAGGGATGAAAGTGGGTCCAAACCCGGACCGGATGGACCTGGATCCGGAAAATTCGGAACCGGTTAATGAGATTTTGTAGAACCGGAAACCGGACTGGTATATAGGAAACGGTTCCGGTTCGATTCCGGGTAAAATGGGTCTAGAACCGGAAAACCCGGAAACATCAAAGTGGGTAGGTTGGAACCGAATAAAGTCGGTTTAGGATCGGAAAAACCGGAATTTTTTGGTAATTCATTTTTGAAAATTTTCATATTGAAAATTTTCATATTAATAAAGTGGGTTGAACTTTGAAAATTTTCATATTGATATCCCGATTTTGGGGAATTTGTAAGTCATTGAATATGAAACCAAAATTAACAAAATTATAATAACAAAATCATATACAAACACTAAATAAAATACAATCCGGAAAAAACCTCATGTCAATATGACTTTAAACGAATGTGATATGTATGTGTTAACATTTTCATATAATACAAAGTACAAAAACAAATAGCTGAAAAGTTGAAAATTTTCAGTTTTGATATCCCGACTTCGGAAGAGTGTAAATCATTGAATGTTAAACCAAAAATGACAAAATTATAGTCTAAAATCATGTATAAACTGTAAACTACAAGTTGGAAAAAAACTACATGTCAATCTGACTTCAAATAAATTAGATATGCATGTTTTAAAACTTTCACCGAATACAAAAAAATTGAAAAATTAAAAACTTCCAATTTTGATATATCGACTTTTGGGGACTGTAAGTCAATGAATATAAAACTACATGTTGGAAAAAACCGTATGTCAATCGGAGTTGAAACGAATGAGATATGCATCTTTTAAATGTTTCACAAAACCGACCCTAAAAGTGGTTCCAATTCCAAAAACCGGTTTCGGTTTACCCGGACCCGATGGACCCAAACCCGGATAAAGCCAATTTTTGAACTCGGAACTGGAACCGATTCTATATATTCCGGTTCTAACGGTTCTGGTTCCGGTTCGATTCCGGTTTTCCGGTTCTAAATCTCATCCCTATACACCACCTCCTCCTGCCACAACCAACCACCACCACAGTCACCAACCATCACCGACCACCACCGTTACCTCCGTCACCTCCGCCACCACCACAACCAACCACTGTCACATCTGCCACCACCCACCGCTGCCATATTGATATATGAATAACCAGTTCCGCTATACTTATTTATATACGAATATATATTCCTATATGAATACACTTATTCATATATGAATATACATATTCGTATACGTATTCATATATGAATAACTGTTCCCTCGGCCTGGTATGTTGGAGCGCTTAAACGATAGATTCGAAATGAACGGTCCAAATTCATTCTCTAATTCTTAATTTTTTTTATCAATTGAATCTTCCTCTAAATACCTATATTGTTAGAAATTTAGGGTTTGTGGTGGAGATCTGGATACCAACTTGGATCGTGAGAACACTTTCCAAACTGATATTTCTACCCTATGTTCTGCCCCTTGGACCCCGCTAGGGGTGCTGACCCTAGACCCCGCTAAAGGGGCGCTGTCCCTTTGGAAACCCCGGACCCCCCGACTTGTCATCGAACCGACTTCTAGTTTGATCTTATACATACATACACTCGCACAAACCCAAACATATATTATAATACAAATTATGAAGCCCCTTAGCTTACATGTTAATTCCAGTTAGACAAATGATACGGTGACATTAAAATCAACAACATATATATATATATATATATATATATATATATATATATATATATATATATATATATCAAGATGTCATATTTATTTTGAAAAGTATCGACATCTAATTATATAAATCGTATTGATGAATGATTGTGAACTCTAAAATAGCACAACCATGCCTTTAACTGGGTCTTAACCAGTCATGGACCAGCGCCCAGCGTCGACAGCCATTACTAGGCCTAGTGTAAACAGAGCCTTAATCAGACATAGTTTTGGTTCGGTTCTTTTTAGGATTGGTTTTGGGTTTGTCTGTTTTTGTTCGGTTTTTTTTCGGACTATTCTTTTTCGGTCTAATGTTTTGGGATAAAAGATAAATTTAGACAAATATTCACTATTTTTGGCGGCCCTTCTTACAAAATGGGTGTTATGATTGTAAATTCGGCAGGATTGGTCACCTATTTAAAACCATAAAATCGCTATGAAATTTTTTGGCGGCCCTTCTTTATTTTTCATCTTTTATTTTTGTACTGAAACTAAAATCGCTATGAAATTTTTTATTGTTTGATATTTTAGCATAGATTTAGCATCTTCACAACAAAGATTAGGAAAACTTTCTATTGTTTGGTATTTTTTCACAAGTCAATCTATAAAACACTGTATTTCCGTTGGAAAATATAGCATTTTTTTAGGTGTTCTTTTGATTATTTGTTTTATTTCGTTTCTTGTCATTCTCAGCTTTGAACCCACATGTGTTTGGGATTTGATCTTCTTATTAAGTTGTTTGAGAATAGCTTCTTATTAAATTGTTTGCTTCCGATGATTTTAAGTTTGATTTTTTAAATGAAGTTAAATATGAAAATTAAGGATTTTACATATAAAAAATCGTGGTCTTTTATATCTCACATGGAGTTTTTCACGCGCAACACTTGTCCTCTTTCAATAGTTTGTTCTTTGGAAGACTTCAGACTACAAAACCTCTGCGTATGTTTTGTGCAACGCAACACTTAACTTGCCTCTTCAAACCTTTTCAACTTTCATTTTTTTTCCAAGTGTTTTTTTTAATTAAAATTTGGTATAACTTGATTTTTTTAAAACTTTGATTTTTTTTTTTTTTAAAAAAAAAACTTTTGATATACGGACTTGATACAATTTCTTTTTATTGTTTCCAACTTTCCACAATTTTTTATAAAATCAGTTTACGGTGTTGAGAACTATTTTCAGTTTGTAAAACTAGGTTATTTAATTTTCAGTTTGTTGTAGCGGTCTGCAAATGTTACAAAACAAACAAGTTTATTATTATAGGTTGTAACCGTTTAATTCACATCTTCTGCTGCAAAGAGTTGCAAATGTGATCCGTAAATCTCATGAATTTTGCTTCCAAAAAGCAAACAACACCTTAGATAATACCAAACATATTGCGAAAATGACACGAAACGACGTGGCACTTTTGCATTATTTTTGATATTTTCATAGGGGTCTATGCATAAATTGTAGTTATTTTGGTATTTGATTTATTTTCTAAATCTTACTAGTTTGTAAATTTATCTATTTTTTTTTCTAAGACAGTTATTAAAAACTATATTGATGACAGTTCTTTTACTACAATAAAATAGTTATATAAATAGTTAATATTAATACAAAGAAGAAAATCCTGGAACTCAATATTTTTATATAAGCACTAAAATTTTCCCAAAATCGAAAATTTGTGTTCTTTAAAAATCTTTTCGTCTTATATATTTTAAGTCATATTTGTCTTCGTCTTATATATTTCCTTTTATATATACTCTTTTATATAATCGTCTCCGTCTTACACATTTTTAAGACCCATCTTTGTATAAAATATTTATAAAAAAATAAAAATAAATAAAAGCATCATCATCCTCTAAATTGTCTTTCTTGGCCGTGGGATCTTAGAGTATTAATAAGCCATGTGCTGCTTCTTCTTCTTGTGTCTTATTCTATGTTCTCAGGACCCTCAAGCCAACACATGATGTATATGTTTTGTTTCATCCCAATAACCTTTGGAATATGGCAGCCTCCAGCCCTCCATAGATAGCGTTGTTAGTTTTGTTTTTTATGACAACTGCATATTCTGAAGCTAACGTAGTAAATTAGAGCAATGACAAACACAATTGGATATTGTTGGTCTTTTTCACTCCACGATGCCGAAATATACAGATTTTCACTTTCGTCAATACCATAAACATAAAATAAGTTTATATATAGTCTTCTAATTCGGTAATTGAGGATGTGGTATGTAATGGTTTACTAAATTTGTTAACTTAGGTTATAAAAAGTTGTATAATAGGACTTGACCTAGTTTTGTATTCGTCTAAAATGGTCTTTGTTAGGTAAATGTGTTTGAGTTTCTGTTACTTACCCCATAAACTCTTCCCAAGACCTTACACACTACCTTCTGTATTGTATCCATGACTTGGGCATTAGACCTCATAAACAATCACAATAGCAAACACTATTATCATTTAAAATTGTCTCATATATTTATTTATGTGCGACAAAAACCTCTAACATTACAACATTACTAGAAAGACATGAAGAGTTGATACAACTCATATCAAGTTTCATTGACAATTACGTGTCATCCACTTTTAATGTGACAATGAGGTCTAATTTGAAACCGTATACATAATTTTTGGGCTGATATTTTGTTTCCGCTTAAAAGAATCATCTTTTTTTTTTTATTTCCCTAAAAGATGTTATTCTTTAGGTAAAAAATAGTTACCGAAATTTATATATTAAAAAGTTTATATATTAAAAAAGTAAATGTTGTAACATCTCAAAAACATTATATTATCAACTTAAAAACATCTCAAAAACATTATATTATCCACACCGGTCC